TGATTTGTTTGGTCTAAAGGTGCCAAATATTAGCTCTGTGTCCAGTCTGTAGCTTTACCCAGGTCTTTAATCATTTGACCAGTTACTGATGCTAAGATAAATGCACATTTAAAATTAATTTAAAAAAAGATTAGAATTTTACACTTGTTTAACAAATGATCTTGAGACATTGGCGCAAAACACATAACGCTTTGTCAGAATGAAAAACTGTAAAAACAAAACAGGAATCTTTAATTCACATATGAACAACGAAGTTATACCTGAGACAAAAACTAAAATAACTTGTTCCAGTGGAGAATTTCTACATAGATTTATTTATTCATTCTTAGTTTCCCAAGTAAAACCATAATTTTTTTAACAATGTTCCATTTTAAAGCAGGCCACTCACCTCACTGCTCAGTCTGCAGCTGGGTAACGTGCTCACTTTTCAGACATAGTCATGCAGCAAAGAGCCTCTGGACACAGACATGTAGAAGGCCGCCCACTCAACCTGCCGAGAACTAAGACACCTTGACTGAAAGAGACATGCTGCCACTAACCATCCAGAAATAATTTGTTGCTGGTTTCCAGCGGTACATGTAATGGATGCTTTGTTTTTATCTGAGTTTTTTTTTCTCCTATGTTTTGTATATTTATGCTCTTGGCCTTTGTTTTTTTTTTTCTTGGCTTTTTTGTGCTTCATTTTCTGTCTTTGTACCTGTTTTGTGTGTATTTCACACATTTTTATAATTCTCAACTTGTGCATTATTTGTTGTTTTATATGGTTCTTTTCTGTCCCATCGTGGTAATTCTTCATCTCTTCATTATTAGTTTGTGCCTCATTTTGGTTATTTTGTTTTCCTCTGAACATATCTGATCCTCTCATACATTGTATTTATAACATCTCTTTCATATATCTCATCTACTTTTTGGAGGAAAGTAGAGAGCATTCATTTGTTTAGATGTTGAGTGATGCTGATGTTAAATTCATAACATTTCCAAGCATGGGACATGACAACAATTACCTGTTAATTAGGCCAAAATAACTACAGGAAAATACAGAAATCTGAACACTTTGTGGATATTTTTTTTAACATAGATAAAAAATCAATTTAAAGCACATAACACAATGAAGAAATCATCCAAAAAACCTGACAGAACTCCCACCATATATAGCACAAAGTCATGACTTTTCCAGCTCAGCCAGAACTAAAAATGATCTGTGCCCTGTTGGGTACAGATTGTATATGTGGTCACCTTGTGTCCTGACTGCCAATGTTTCCCAGCTCAGAGTAATGAAGAAGCAGGCAACGGAAGCACGGCAACAGAAAAAGCCCAGTTGTGACCCTCGTCTTCTAAGTGACTTGTGACCTCATGAACGACAATTTCTGCATGACCCTTGTTCCCTGTCAATCAAAATGTTGCTGGAAAGGCAACACAGGCACACACACCCACCTGCACTCACACCCAGGAGCCATTTGTTATATGGTAGACTGGCTTTGTTCAATGTCCCTGAGAATGGGGGAAATGGAAATATAGAAAACAATTATACCCATGCGTGGTTTCAGGACCCAACTGAGGAGAGCATTTGCATCCAGCCATGTTATCCTCTTTCTCCCCCTGAAATATTTAGAATGCAAAGACAAGGAGCATGACGCGTGTTGCACTTTTGTGGGCTGAATCCATGGGTGAACTTGAGGAGCGCTGCTCAGTGTTGCATTACTTTTGTGTAACGGTACCTGATAAACCTGCCGGCTGAAAATACCACACTGATTTGCATTTTTATTCAATTTTAATATATTCTTGGGCGCTGATGGCTCCAAATATAGAGAATCCCGGTCCTTCGCTTCGTTTGCAAGCAACAAGCAATGCAAGCTAATTCTGTTGAGTAGTGTGTTTTTAATAGATCAAAGAAGAAATCTGGGGCTGTCTGATGCAATTAAGGAGATGCATTAAGAAGAACAAACCCCTGTAGGCTGTTGTTTTCAAATGATGCCCCACTCCTTCCACTGCTACATCATGATTAGTGTTGTGCAGACATGGCCTTTTGTTGAGTGCGGTAGACAGCTTGTAACATCCTTGCCGACTGACAACAAGATGAAGAACTCTTTCGGTGAAACCAACAGCTGTGGAAGTTTTTTTGAAACACAGAGCTAGAGTTAGATGATTTTGGAGACCATACCAGCGACCCTTTCTAATGCATCGGAATTTGGATATTAACTTTAATTCTCAAAACTCTTTTTTAATTATATCCATCATGCAGATTCTGACAGCATAGATCTGTTTATTAGGACTTCACAGTTTTACAGCAAGGCACTACATAGAGTAGAGACACTGAATCTCTGATGAATTGCCATCAACTGTTTCATAATCTTATCGTTTTTTACTGTAGTGAAGTCAAATTAAAGTTAGACAAGCCCAGTGATTTTATTCTGTCCGGCAGGTCATGTGGGGCTGTGGTAATTAATCCCCACCGGAGCTCACATAATGGCCCACGAATCTTGTCTTTTTCTTTCCTTTTTGAACCTAAGCCATGTTATGGCTTCATCGAACACAGAGTGCAGATGTAATAATAATCACAAGAACCTTTAGGTGCAATGTTGAGAACACACAATCAAACTCGGGGGTTATTATTTATCTTTTAAATAACCCTAAAATAATTAATCAAGTGCCAAAATCTCCTGTTTTTATTGTTTAAAATTGAGAAAAGAAAGGTCACTCTTAATGATTTATAATTGTCAATTATTATAATTGTGAGGATATAAAGTTCCATCAGGGCTTGTTTAATACGTCAGATTTAAAATAAGCTCTATCTTAATTTGATGTCTTGTAGTTTGTTTTAGCTGCCTACAAGTTATTGAAAGTACCCAATGATATCTTTTCCCCATCTGACTTTGTCGAACTTGGTCAGAAACCTAAGTGGGTCTGTGAGGTACTTCCATAAAGCTCAGGCTCAACCGTTTTATTTTGAACCACTTGGTATACAAAGGGTGGCACAAGGCATCTACCATGTGGCCCAGCAACTGACAGATCAAGGCTTAAGGAATGTATCCCCTCTGGCTCTAAAAGCTTTCAGTGTCCAAATGACACAAAGGTGTTGCACAGAAAAGCCCTGCATCTCAGCTTTACTTAACTTTTTATTCATTAAATTATAATTAACAGAGACTGATTCAGCCGTAGACAATGACACAAGCCACTGAGAATGAAAGAATTTTAAAAGATCCTTTGCAATAATATAAGATTAATACAAGCGAATGACTTTGATTTTGTTTTCATTTTGCTTTGGTTCGATAAGTGCAGTTCTTATCAACAATAACCATTAATAGATTAATTGCATTGGCAATTCTGTTTCAGGTGATCCTGTGCCTCAACATTTCTGATGTCTAAACCTAATCAATTAGATCTGATGTTAAAGCATAATTTTAAAAGAGGTTTCTAAACATAACTGAAACAAAGGAAAATAGTTACCAATCAGATTGCTGTGAAATTATCTGGGATTTATGTTTTATTCCTCCTGCTCTTTGCTCACCACATCACTCTTTCATTGGCTTGTCAAAAAAAAGACAACTCCTCAGCCTTCCACTGCAGAGTGTTTACTTATTTCACTGCTTTAGATACGTCTGATGTGTTGTCATTCTTTTCATTAGCTTTTATAAAGGAAGAAAATAAAAGAATCTCAGGCTCTGATGGAGGAGCAAGGTCTCTGTATTGTACATGCCCAGATTGTATCATGACATCATTCTGGCAGTCTCAACCAGATGCAGAGCAATCAGCCAGTTGTTTGTGCTCGTCATCAGATCAGCTGCAGTGTACTTCTCCAACTACAGCAGGTTTTCTATTAAGGCTGCGTTTTTTTTTGCTCCCGAGAAACTGTTTTGCCCCAAGAGGACATGACAAACCGAAACTTTCATATGTTGTAAAGCAATATGCAAATGGGACCGTGATACGTTTCAAAAATCCCACAGCTCATTGTCAAACATAACTTTAAGTCACTTGGCTGGCAATATAGCAGACACGTTGCTCCCCTCACCGCTCCTGCTCCCCGCTTCCGCCTTGATCTTGTGTCACGCTGGCGGCCGTAATTGTCAGACGGTCCTTTGCTGCACAACTCTCAAATGTGGAGAGTCTAAGAGAGGTGTGCGGGGGAGGCCGGTGGTCGAGAAGGCTCGCGTTTGGCCCAGCCATCTCATCCTTCAGGATACTACCAGTGATAATTGCATAGTAGATATCCATGATATTCCTTAGACAGGCTGCTCCTCCCTCAAATAAATGTCTTTTTTCTCTGCAGTCCAACACTTCTGTACATATTTACAGCTATGTAGGTTTACAATTAGGTGTAGGTGAAACTACATAATGATTACAACGTTTTACTCTAAACCTCAGTGGTGTTTCCCTGTTTTTTGCAGCACGAAACATAAATATTAATGAACGTGAACATCCCAGATTAGTCACATGGCAGACTGAGTTAAGATAATTTGTGATAGAGTTTCAAAATAAAACAAAAGATTAGAGGAATGTCTCAGTGTTGGAAAAGGCCTCTTTTTCGAAACCAGTTTAAAACATTAAACCAAGAACCTTCATTTTGCAGTCAATGTTCCCTGTGACAGCTCTATTTGTCTGTTGTTTTTTCTGTTAACACCTCAGTGTATAAGCACCTATTTATATGGTAAAGCAACTTGAAATCATATTTTCGAGGTTTTCAGCCTGAGACGAAACATGTCTCTTTAGTGAAATACAGCCGACTTGAGCAGATGTCAAGACTAGAGAGGGTTTTGTTTTTAATAAGATCTTTACTTGTAACGTATTTAAAGAATACATGAGGTGGTCCACCAGTCGCAGGGGTGATAAAATGTTGCATTGATCAAGTGTTTGACAATGTTTCAATGTAGTGGAGCAAAAGGGCCGTGCTTTTCAAAGTTCAGCTAAAATTAGTTGAAACCATCACAGTGAAATAAAAAGTAAGGAATCAGAAAGCAGCCATTGACTTTTAACAGTGATGCGTTTCTCTTTTCTCCTCGCAGAAGGGGGCACATGTGAAGTAATCGCTGCTCACAGATGCTGTAATAAAAATCGTATTGAGGAGCGGTCACAGACGGTGAAGTGTTCATGTCTGCCAGGGAAGGTGGCTGGGACCACCAGAAACAGGCCTTCGTGTGTTGACGGTGAGTACTGCAGAAGCATTAAAACAAACAGTGGAGCATTATTGTAGAGCTATGCCCTGTGTTTGTTTGTATTGCAGGCTCCTGTTGACTTTTTGCTAAATTCCACCAGGCAAGCGATGGATTGGAACTTAAAAATAATGAAAAGTTATATTCTGTTATCTTAAAATACAGTTTTTTAAACATCTCTCAAAAAGCTTTAGTCAGCCATGTCATGTCTTGGGATAAATTCTGTTGCTAAAACACATAATCTGCAGGGCTGAGCTTTACTCCAGCATTAGACAAAGCAAACCAATGCATCTGGCACACCCAGGATGAAAAATTAAGTGGGACAAAAGCAAAGAGACAAAGACAAAATAGATGTTATTTTCCTCCTGGAAGATATGCACATGCTTTGACAAATGTCTGTGAAACAGCCTCTGCCGGTGGTGAGGGCTAGATTTGGTGCGCGGGGGAGACACAACTAAAACACATATTGGCTCGAGAAAACCTCTCACCTGCAGCTTTTATCTTAAACCCTTTTGCAAATATTACTGCAATCTTAGAGCGGACTGGGAGAATTTGAGGTCTCTTGATGTCAGCTCTGACAGATTCTTTTTCTCTGTCACACATTACAAACCATTTACTGTCTACTTACCCTGTATTTAAAGCAATTTTCCCTCTTGATGACAGGAGTATGGTGTGCATTAAAGTCAAGCCTTTGTCACGCCTACCAATCTTCTCCTTCAATGAAAAGCCACAGTTTCACCCACTGTATTCCCCCTCAGTGCCTTGCAATGAAAAGTAGGCACATTGCCCGCATTTTTTCCTCCTATTGCAATTGATTTTGTCGAATTTATTTTTGTTCAAAGGTCAATCTATACCATCAAGAAATCCCAAACATCAGAGACCTGTGGGATCATTTATTGAGCACCGCTGCTTTTGTTTTGAATTGGTTGGATTTAAATGCAAGCCTTTAAGACTGACTGTAATTAAGGGCTAAAGAAAATGTAGTTTGGAAATGTCATATATGAGTGTAATTTTTCTCATAGAGAAAAAACTAAATCCATAATTGAACCATTAAGATCTTATGGTCACCCGTGCTAGGCAGTGTCATGAAGCTTTGCTTTTGTTGGAGGGTAAATGCATTGTCTTTGTCTGTGCTGCACGTAGCGTCCATCGTAATTGGTAGATGGTGGTGTGAAATGGAGCCTTGCCTTGAGGGGGAGGAATGCAAGACACTCCCCGACAACTCAGGCTGGATGTGCTATGCTGGGAACAAGATCAAAACCACAAGGGTAAGTTAACCTCATTGGCTCTGCAGGAATTTACACTGTATGCACACATGGCAGATATGTTGGCTTTTTTTTTTTGAGGACCTATTATAATTGCAATATGCTTCTTGTCCACGACATTGGTCTGATTGTTGATCTGTTGAACAAGCCCAGCCTCCCTCGGATGGTCAAAGGCTGTGAAATATTTTCTTTTTGACTGTACTGCTTTCACAATTTCTTGAGGTCTTCATAAAAATGTCTGAGACACGGGTTGGGTCAAAGTACCACAGAAAAAGGGGTAAACGCTTCTCCCACTCTGAATTTCCACCTCTGTCTGCACTGAAACTCCACTTCACCCTCTTCTTCTGCAGGGTTTTGAATACTTTCTTCATCTTCAGTTTGGCAGCAGGCACCTGTTTCTGATCCCTATTTGAATTCAAATTCTGTTATGTCATGTGTTAAACTAGGAAAGGTTATTAAAACAACTTACCACATATTCATAGCATATGGTCACTTTTCCATTGCACAGCGCTCCATAAGCTCTGTAAAAATGCTGAGGGGGAGAACAGAATCCAACTGTCTCTAACTGAATTGTTCTGGCATATCAATTTGAACTGGAGTCAGAATCTGGTTCAACAAGAGTTCAACAGGAAGCAGGTAGTTTTGTGTGTAAATTGGTGAAGAACACACTGCGACTGGCTGTCACAACTCACCACAAGTGCCTGGATTTGATGTCATATGGTGCTTTTTGGTACCTGCAATAGAAACCTGGACCTCTAATGCACTATTTATTTCAATAACTGCAAGCAAGTTAAAGCATAATCAAGAATCTTTTGCATGTGTGGATGTTGTTATTTTACTGATCTTACAAGATCTAAATTGATTTGTTTTATATCTTTTACCATTGTAAAATATGTTAACGGTATAATTCATAGTGATGCATGTGAAATAAACAAATAAATATTAGTATTTGGAAAATGTAAGAATTGGACTTCCAAATCTCAATCAAATATATCACAATGGACAAAACTCGTGCTCTCAAAGAGATAGCTATCCTCTTCTATCCAGGTGTTTAAATAAGATTCCAGCTGCTCAGTAAAGTTAATGACAACTTTTCCATGGGCAGCTTGAGAAGGTTGGAAAGTGTAGGCTGAGGTTAGAGGTCAAGTCCAATCAGAGGAATTGGGGTGAACTTTAAATGACAGGTTTAAACTGAACAGACAAACTGGTCACTGAATGAGATATCGTCTAACTTATGGAGCAGGTTTGTTTGTTTGTTTGTTTGCAGAGTTTTTTCATTTGCAGTGACTCTCAAGTATGTGTTTCGAAGGACTGACATTTACATTTTTTATTTTTAAATAACATCCCGTTACAACTTGGGAATCGTATTCAGTGGTGGTTACACTTCACCTTTTTCTTCCAGACACCTTGTGTAGCTTGCCGTTGTGGTAGATGGTAGCACAGCGTGCAGTAAAACTGTTGAATTCTATTGTCAGGTACATTTTCTTACGGCTCATTTTACCAGAGGTAATGAAACTTGCCAATAATTATGCACACCCTAATGTAAGTTATTTATCACTTTGAGCCAACCCATTCCTAATTATTTGAATATATATAACCTGAAAATGAATCAAGTAAACATTCAAGTTAATATGGTTTGGAGCTGGAGATTATTCAGAGAAATAATGAGTTGGCTTAAATAATTGTGCATGCAGTGTTTAGCTGCAGCAATGTGACACTTTTAGGAGCACAGCTATTGGTATTGATTTTCCTGGCAAATTAGCTTGTTAACAACGTTGCCTAACCTACTATTTCTCCCTTCTTTGTCTTCTCAGAACACTCAGCCATATACAACATCAACATATTAACATTCTGTGGAGTGAATAGAAGGGAATACCTCTGGTTCAAAGGTAAGTTTTTCACATAAGCTTTCTCAATTACTTTAAAACTGTGGCTCTCTAAAGGGCAAAACAGTAAAAATTACACACATTTCTGTGATACTCACACTGTTTTCTAATTTCAGCGCTGTCATAGGACCAATTATTACAATAGACAATGCACTTATTGTTACATCAAGACATGTGAACACTTTCCAAATCAAAGTGTAAAAAGATGTAGAATACATTAAGCACATCTTGCTCAAGGCTCCTGAAAATAGCGGCGCTCCGAGCAGCCTGCAAGGAACTTCATCATGACCTTGTAATGAATCTAGTTTCATCCTTTTTTTCCAACTTTGAGATGGAGCATGACTGTCTGTGCATTTGGATTCATATTTGGAGACTAACTGACGATCCTACTTAGACTTACATGAGACTGAAGTCCCCTGCAAAGCATCAAACAGGAGAGGAATTTATCAAAGGACATGGAATGAGCAAATGCAGAAGGTGACAGCCCTCAGGATTTTCTTTACTCCTTTCAATATCCTCGGAGGAAAAAAAAAACCTACATATACTGTTTGTCCTTTCCAGTGTACATGAACTTCATTTGTGGTGGTTGTGAATCTTCTTTCCTCTTGCACACAAAACCCAACAAAGCCAAAAGTCAGTGAGGTTAATTATGTGAAATGACGATTAAACAGATGCATTCTGAAGATGTTTTACAAAAAATAGTTTGTGTGTCTTGACACATTTGTTAGTATGGTACTTGTAAACCTTTGAACACCTCTTAAATGGCTTAACTATTCTTGTTTGGTAACATTTCACATGCCATGGATCTGATTCATTCACCAGAAGTGTGCAATCAGCAGGTTATTTTCGATACTTGAAATGCCTTATTTGTGTTAAATCATTGAAATGATGACAATGTATATAAGAAGCCATTAAATGAAATGTGCTGAATTCCATTAAATTAATTGTTCCTGTTACTTATCTGAGTACTTATTTGTCAATTCAGCATCGCTGAACTCCCAGATCAGTTCCAAATAATTCAAATTCCGCGCAATTTACCCTACCTAAGGATATGATTACTTGTCCTTCTCTTAAAGGTAAAATATCCCTAAGAGTGCCATAATATCATCAAGATGCTCTTTTTTGTCCCAACTGACATTTATCAGCTTTTCAAGATTCCATAACTAAAGCAATTTAGTTCCGTCATGAGCAAACTAAAGGTTAATTACACCTTTAACCAAATTGGTCTAATCACATTACATTCCCTGCAAACCAGTCGAGAGTAAAGTGTTGCTGTGTAACAGAAACTATATAGGTATAACTGCAGTTTATTTCTTCTTAAAGAATTAGAAAAAATAGTTGTCAGTGTCTTTCCTCCACCTACTAGTGTGGCATGTGAGAACTCTGTGTCTGAGCCCTGCACATGCCATGCTATTCATTTGAATAGGATAGACAAAAAGATCAGGAAAACACAAGAGTTCCTTTTCTTACAGCCAATCGTTCCCTTTTTCTCCAAACATGTCAGTCATATTCTTATAGATATTGTCTTAAAAAAGACTTTTTGAATTTTTTATTAGAAGCAATCAAATGCATAATATGAGCACATAAAGTGTCTCAGTTTCAACATGTGAATATGTAAACATATGAGTCCTTGATTCAAGTTTGAGCCAAGCTAACTAATTCCTTGCTATTGATCTATAATGAGTTAAAACAGATCTGAGAGTATAATCTTTTTTTTCTGAGAGTATACTCTAAATTGTTCAAAGGAGTGAATGTAAGTGCATGTGGTTGCTCGTCTCTGTGCGACCCTGAAATGGACTGGCGACCTGTCCATGGCATACCCCACCTCTCACCCAATTACAACCCTTGATAGGCTTTACGACCCTAAGCCCGCTGAGAATAGGCGGTATAACAAATGGACGAATGGAGTAATCATGATGTAAATTAAACAGTTTTCCCAAAATGCCATAATATCACTTTCATTTTGGTTGTTTAAACTTAAAGCAATCACATTAATCCTTTCGCACTGGCATCTTCAAGCCAACAAAAATTCATTGAAGTCGCTCTTGCACGTAATACACCAGACTTTTACAGCGATTACACACACAGCTGAATGGGTACCACAATTTGCCTCTGAAAGTGCAGCACACTGTGGAATACTAGCCATTGCTTTCACAGCCACAGCCCCCACAGGAATTATTCTCAGAGGAACTTCATGTAGCTGGTACTCTGCCATTCCACAGGAAAAAAAAAAAAAAAAACTTTTTTTCCGGACTTTACCTTGGTATTTGATGTCGTGTTACTCACTTACAGAATCTCATAAACATCACACACTGCCTGCTCATTCAAATGCGCCAGATTTCTTATCCCCCAGACAAAGATAGAATAGCTTGACATTTATCATTCCATTTTTATCTGCTTTTAAAACCATAAATATTTTCTTTACTTCCTCAATGTAAATCATGGTCTTCCAGCCTCAGCAGGATTCTGTTGTGGACACGTGGTGTGATAATTCCTCATTTTTATCTCAAATATATAAAACTAAAAAAGTAAAATGATGATATTATGTGCAGTTGAACAAAAGCAGCATCCATAAGGGACAGAAAACACTTGTGACCTTTGTGAACACCCAGCACTCATGACCACAGCAGGTTTTAGCTTGTATTATGTTGATCTCACAGTTCTTCTTGTAAAGATCCCTCACAGTCACAGCAGTGACCACACTTTTCTTTATAAACAATGATACATAGAGGGAATATGATACAATTCAAACTTTTAATGAGTGGATACAATCACCTTTATAGAGAAGAACGTGTTACTGTAAATCCAGGTGTGGGTGTATTAGAAATCAACACACATCTGAATTGGACATATTTAATATTTATATTTGCAGCCAGTTCTGCCGCCCTCCCTCACACACAACATGTTGGTAGTGGGCTCCATCTGCACTGAAATCATACAGCAAGACAGATGCCAAATTACAGCATGCTGTCCATCATCAGCTGTGCTGAAATTATAACATCAGACAGTAGCAGCTGCGGTTGCTACACAATTCAGTATGAATTAATATGCATGCATTTTAGCTCTTGCTTTATTTCCTCCAGGCTACCACACTTTTAACAGGGATCTGAAATAATA